GATGTGTCTCCCTTCTCCTGACTACCCCCAAACCCAGTTGATCCTGCCTCTGACAAGCAAGCAAACAGCCCGAGGCTCTGAGCATGCAGTGTGACTGGTCGGCACTGACGTAGGGATGTCAGGCCAGACCCTGGGGCCTGGCAGCTGTGCGTCCTCTGGCTGCTGCAGGCCAATCCCTGGCTGACCATGGGGAGGCCTGCTTTGCCCAGTGAGAGCTCACATGGGAAAGGGCAGGCTGCCTCCCTGATGGCCCTGGTGACAGCGGGGGGCCCTCTCTTGTATCCATGCAATGCAAGGGGTGGCTTCTGCTACCCTCTTCCTGGAACTCAGCACTGCAAGAGGACATGGGGCAGACGAGGGCCACAAGAACCCAAAATGTGAGCCATTTCACTTGCCCCTCCTTCCGTCTTAGGGGCATCAATCACTGCTTCCCTCTCCATCAGTCCCCAGCAGTCCCCACCAGAGCACAGGCAGGGCCAGGCCTCCACCCCTAGATGACCCGATATGTGCCCTTGGAGGGGCATCTTCCTGGGACCAGACTTCAGGGCTTTATCCCTGATACTGATGGTGTGTGAATGACGAAATTGGCCAAAAATAAAAGCCCCCATAAATCTGCTATTTTCCTCTAAGCTGTCGGGTACACAGAGTATGCTGGGATTATTGATAGAAAAGTTTATGGATGGGCTGCATCTTAAAATCAAAATACATTACCCAAAATCAATGTTGCTGTACACGGTGCAGGAAGACGGGAAAGGTCAGCCGAGACAAGAATACTGAAACCCCAACTCTAAGAGGACCTGAGCATTCAAATAAATAAATTTTGAAAGTGAGTTCCAGGAAAAACACTCACTTAGGGCTGTAATTTAAGGGTGCTTTCACAAAAGGCTGGGCAGTCTTTTTAAACAGCGCTTTTTAAAGTGCCTCTGAGAGTCCAGTGAATCCATCCACAAAATGGTATTGACAAGCACCACACACCCCAGCTCGCAGCCCAATAATAACAGCTCGTAACAGGTAATGAGTGAGAGTCCCGAGGCTGGGCACACAGTAGCCAGGCCCGGGCAGAAGTGAACCCCCCAGGCACAGCCAACTGGGCAGGGCAGCCAACCCATGGTCCCATCGACCACATTACAAAAGGATCCGCCTCCAGGTCCCCGTGCACCGCGACCCCACAGGCATTTCAGAGCTGTGGATGAAGGCAGGGAAAACCGTGTTAGTTCCCACTGATGACTAATCAGGACGAGAAACAAAGCGATTGTGAAACACTCTCAAGTTCATTGCTTCACATAACCATGATTCACTGCAAACAGGTCATCTTTGTAGGAGCCCAAGACACCACAGTAGGTAGAGCTGAATGGCTGTGTCCCCAGAGCTTAGTGCCCCTTTGGGAGAAGTGACACACATGCTCCATCCCAGCCACCTTTTTAGAGTCTCCGACTGAGAGATCATATATCACTAGGACGTAGTGAGAAGTAACTGGCTCCCCTGGAGGAAGCAGGAAGCCAGGCTGGGCAGAGACTGGCAGGAGCTTCAGTCTGGTCTTAGCTCAGTAATCCTCCAACCAGCCAAAGGGCTAAGTCGAGAGACAGAAGTCGCTGCCCTGCCCACAGAAACCCCACGGCAAAGGGGAAGCAAAATGCCTCTTCCCCAATGCTCCTAGCAGCGTCCCCAGTCTGAACATTTACTAGGCGCTAACTATGGGTCAGGCCCAGCTGGGAGTTAAAGACACAGAGAAAGCCAGCATGGTGGCTCAGGCCTGTAATCCCAGTGCTTTGGGAGGCAGAGGCAGGAGGACTGTTTGAGGTCAGGAGTTTGAGACCAGCCTGGGCAACACAGCAAGACCCATCCCTATGAAAAATATTAAAAATACAAAATTAGCTGGGTGTGGTGGTGCATGCCTGTAGTCTTAGCTACTAAGAAGGCTGAAGCAGGAAGATGGCTTGAGCTCAGGGGTTCAAGACCAACCTGGGCAACACAGCAAGACCTCACCGCTCCAGAAAATTTTAAACAGAAAATTAGACAGGTGTGGTGGTGCATGCCTATATTCCTAGCTACTTGGAAGTCTGAGGCAGAAGGATTGTTTGAGCCCAGGGGTTCAAGACCAGCCTGGGCAACAATAATATCTCTACAAAAAATATATAAATTAGCAAGGCATGATGGGCTGAGCCTCCTTGGGTTAGCTTGATTACTCTGGAGGCTGAGGTGCAGTGAGCTAAGATTGTGCCACTGCACTCCAGCCTGGATAACAGAACAAGACCCTGTCTAAAACAAAACAAAACAAAACAAACAAACAAACCACATAGCGAAGGTGGTTCAGCTGTCATCACAGTCTACAATGCAGGGCAGAAAACGAATAGACCAAACTGAACAGGCAGGGAAAAGATTACAAGTCTAGTTCAGGCTATTCCTGGCTCCCGTCAGTCAAGGGCAGGGCCTTGCTCTCCACACCAACTAGAGGCATCAGGACCAGAGTCTCACCTGGAGTAGGAAAGAGCTGAGTGTTTTGGTTAAGATCTAAGACCCCAGAGTAAAACAGATAATGATGATGCGTCATTCAGTTGATACATCATTCAGCTACGTGACCTTGGGCAAGTTCCATAAGTTTCTGAGCTTCATCCATAAAATGGGGTGAAATCACAATGTCTACCCCTGAAGTTGTGATAGAGATAAAATGAGCTCATTCATTCATTCTACAAGCTCCCACTTCATTTACTGAGCTCCCACTCTGTGCCAGACCCTGTACTAGGGGCTGGAGATACATCAGTGAACAAGGCAGGCAGAGACTTAGAGACTTTCAATAAGACACTCTAAATAAGAGTGTAGCCCCATGTGTTGGAAGATGGTTGGTGAAATGAAAAAAATGTAAAAAGCAGAGCGAGGGCCTGGAAGTGCTGGGTGACGGGAGGAGAAGCACTTTAGACTGCAGTGTTAAATATGATGGTCTGGGAGGGCCTCATAGAGAAGGTGACTGCTTGACAAAGACCAGAACACAACAGTTAGCCAAGCAGGTATCTGCAGGAGAAGCATGTCAGCTGGATGATGCAGCTGGTGCAAGGGCCCTGGGGTAGGAGCCTGCCCAGTGAGCTGCATTGTAGGAACGGCTGTGTGGCTAGGAAAGTGTGAGCTATGGAGAAGACAGAAAAGATGAGGCGATGAAGAAAGGGGTCGAGCAGGAAGCAGGAAAGCAGATGGTTTTGACCTTGGCAGCCACTGCAAGGCCACTGGTGTTTATGCCAAGTGAAATGGGAGCCACTGCGGGGTTTCAGCCGTGGAAGAGAGATCTGATTTCCCTGTGAGAAGGATCTCTGTCACGTTGAGAACTGATGCTTGAAAGTGCACAACCAGTGTCTAGTACATGAAAAGCATGTGAAAACATGTATCTGTCCCTCTTAGAGCAATATCAACTCATGCAGTAGACAAGAAACACCTAACCCCAAAAGGCAGTACAGGGATAAAGGATCCGTAAACCTGCCAGGTAATTCCCTCCAGCTACAGGGATTCTCCCACGGGCATCGCTGATCTTCATTAGCCTCTGCTTGGATCTGGCACCAGGAAAGGAGACCCATGCCTCTCCAAGTGGGCGGCTGCTCAGTGGGCTAGCTCTTCCTTCAGACCCCTGCTTGGAATCAGTCCCCAAATGAGCCTGCTTTCTTGGAACCCCACCATGAACCTGAATCTGCATAGCGTGGTGCAAGCCTGCCCTCTCCCTTCAGAAGCTGAGGACAGCAATGGGGCCTGGCAGGGTCTTACATTTGGATGTCCAGAGTGGTTTCTAAGGGCACATGGAATTTCCAAGGAAAAGCTCCTGCCATGGCAGAAGGAGCTGGCAACTGCTTCTGTGGAACCCCTAGAGAGGAACTTAAGGAAAAGAGGGAAGTCCTGCAGGACCCCCTTGATCCCCCTGCCCCCAGCAGGAGATCTTAGCAAACAGGGGCTTGATAGATGAGCCACCGTGAGCCAGGGGTTGGGAGTGACTCCTGGGCCATAAACGAGGAAACTAAAAGGCAGGCAGAGGGAGGCACGAAGGGCTGGCCCGGGCACCCCGCTGGCAAAGACAGCCTTGGAGAGGACCTGCGGGTCCTCCCCTCTGAGCTGTGCTGTGCTGCGTTGGCCGCCAGGACCAGGGTGGCTGCTAGAAAGTGTCTTTCCTCTGGGTTTCCTTCTCCTTGGCTCCCTGGGAACCCTCTGGCGTTGCCTCCGGGAGGCTGGGGCTGGTAGCCGGGGAAGCAGACACGTGAATCCACCGGGCTGCCCCATCCCAACCTCAGGTCAGAGCTGAGGCGTGGGGGCCGGGGTAGGGGCAGAGGTGCTGAAATGCACTGGCTGGGGACTCCCACGGAGAAGGAGAGAGGAGAGACCCGAGGCAAGCCTTGGGACTCGTCCCTATGACCATGACTACGCATCGCTTCCGAACCACTTGTCCACCCCGTTTCCCTTGGGGACCAGACCTCGCTCCCTCACATGGCTGGGGAGGCGGCAGGCTCCGGGTAAAGGCTGAGGGAGGTACCGGGATGCCTGGTATGCCAGAGCAGGCGGGGGATGGGTTCCGGCATCCTGCAGTCTCGGGATCTCGCTTTGCACGGGATAAAGAAGGGTCCACGACCAGCGAAGAGCGCGTAGAGATGCAGGAACCCGCGATCCAGGGGCAGGAACCCCGCCCCCGCCCGGAAACCTCCCGGGCCCTGAGTCGTGCCCGGCGCTCCCCACCCCACCCCCGCCGCCCCTGCCGTCACTCACGGCCGCTGCCGGCTGGCTCGCGGGTGCGCTCTCCGAGCCACAGGCACCTGCTCACTGGGAGCTGTGCGCTCACTTCTCCCTCGCGCACTGCAGACTCCCGGCGCCGCCGCCGCCACCCAGCCTCGTCCCCGGCTGGGCTGGGCACAGCGTTCAGCCCTTCTCGAGGCCCCGGGCGCCCACCCACCCGCCATGGCCCGGGTCTGGGCCAAACAGCGGGGTAGCTGGTTGCCCAAACTGGGGTAAGGAGTTGAGGGCTGGGAGCTGCGGAGAGGACCGCGGGACACACTGGGAGCAGGGATGAGCGGCCGTCTGGAGCGGTGGAGACTAGGAAGAAGCCAGGGAGAGTTTGGGTGGGAGGACTCCCAACCCAAGCGGGAGCGGGGCGGGGCTGTGCTCCAACCAGAAAGACGGTGGTCCCTCCGAGCGACCCCCGCGGAGAGAGAGGGCGACCTCCGGGGCGGGGGCGGGGCGGGCTGTGGCAGGAGAGGGGAGGGCGGGGGTGATGCTGCGGTGGAGGCGGCTTGGAGCCCAGCCACTGACCGCCCCCTCCCTTCCCATCCCCTCCCCCTCTCCCCGCCTTTCTCCGGCTCCGGGTCCACCACGCCGGACCCGCTCTCCCCGCGCTGCGCTGGGTCGGACGCCAGGTCTGCGCTCCGCGGCTGAGCGCCCACTCGCCCTGCAGAAAGAGCGGTGGAGGAACCGGCGGGGGCGGCGGCGGGAGCCGAAGGAGGTGGCAGTCGGGAGCAGAACCAGAAGGAGACAGGGAGGCAGAAGCTCGCGGCTCCGAGGCGCGCACTCCCTCGGCCAGGGATGGGTCCCGGCGCGGCCCAGCCCCTGCCCGGCCCTCCGGGCAAAGACTGAACCGAAGATCCCCGCTGTCCTGTGGACGACGGAACAGAGAGAGAGGCACTGACCGATCGCCAGTGCCCTCCCGGCGGGACCGCGGCTCTCACACACCCGGCGCAGCGCCCCCCGCCAGAACCACGCCGGGCAGGCCGGCGAGGGAGCTGGACTGATTGGCGGCCGCCGGCGGCCAGGGGAGGGGGCGCCGCGCGGGGCCATGGCAGGCTCGGAGGCGTCCTAGCTGGAGCCGGAGCCTATCCGAGCCCACGCGGCCGCCGCCTCTCCGCTCCCGGGCCCCCGCCGCCGCCGCGCTCCCCGCGGGAGATGGAACAGCGGAACCGGCTCGGTGCCCTCGGATACCTGCCGCCTCTGCTGCTGCATGCCCTGCTGCTCTTCCTGGCCGACGGTGAGCGCGGGAACTTTGCTGCCGCGGTGGGCTAGGAGGGTGGGGGTGGTTCTGTGCTGGGGCCGCCACCAAGAACTGGCAAGCTACGCGGTCGCCAGCAATCCCGCTGTGCAGCCCGGGGCCTGGAGGGGTAGAGGGAGGCGAGCCGCGAAGGGTCGCCGCAGCGGCAGCGCAGAGCCCGAATCATTCCCAGTCCAGCCAGGGCCCGGCTGCGGAAAGGAGGCCTGCGGGGAGCAGGAGTTGGCGAGCCCCAGCCAGACTCTGACTGTGCGGCCCGGCGCGGGAGAGAAGCATGAGCTGCCCCTACCGCCCCGAGCGATCCAGAGGGAAGCAGCGGGCAGCCGGTGGCCAGTCCCTGTCACGGCCCTGCTGCCGCTTCCCCGAACTTTGCTAGCGCCTCCGGCCGTGCGCCACGGACCAGCTGCGGGGTGGGGGGCACAAGGCCAGAGAGCCAGAGACCGACCGCCTCCCTTTGGGTTGCCCCAGGCCCCCGCCCTACAGCTGGTCACGCCTCTCTTTCCCCCAACCCCCAGCTACATTCACAGAAGTCCCCAAAGATGTGACAGTACGGGAGGGAGACGACATCGAAATGCCCTGCGCGTTCCGGGCCAGCGGAGCCACCTCATATTCGCTGGAGATTCAGTGGTGGTACCTCAAGGAGCCACCCCGGGAGCTGCTGCACGAGCTGGCGCTCAGCGTGCCCGGCGCCCGGAGCAAGGTAACCCGCTGCCCACGCGGTGCCGGCGCGCGCCTGGCTCTGGCCCGGGGCGGCGAGGGCTACCCGGGGAGGGAAACAGCCGACTTCACCCGCGCAGGGCACCGCCCTGTGGCGTGGCCCATCTTTCACCCTCGCAAGCATCTTAAAACTCAGCAGTTGTTACCCCCAAACCTGTCAATTGTTTTGACAGCATCCCTGTTCCCGCCGCCTCCCAGAACTCTATTCACGCCCAGCCCCTAAAGAGCCACACCTCAGCCAGGTCGCTGGCCCGTGCTTGCTGGCTGCGGCCCCAGTGTCTGATGGCTGCTGAGTAGTGAAGGAAGCCCCCTTGGTCCCATCAGGCTGTCCCGGCCCTCTGCCACTTTGAGGCACCCAGTGCTTCCCTGGGCTGCGTTCCAAAAGCCAGCAGAAAACCGAGTACCGGGAAGCCGGCAGGACCTCCAACCCTCAGGGGAACAGAGGGGCAACCTCCCTGTGGCTGAAAACAGGCCCACCCTGCTCATCTGCCTCAAAACCCACACTCTAGGGTACACGCGTGCACATACCTACCTACATTTTCCCAGGGTCCCACCCAGAGTTACTGCCACTGAGCCTCCCTCAGAGTCCCGTCCAGACACAGGGCCCCTCCCCCCAGTGAGCTGGGGGGGGGGATTTTTGAGCCACTGGACAGGGCCTAAGGATGCCAGGCTAGAAAGAGAGGGGCCTTCCTTCCCACCCTGGTGGCCATGCAGTCTCCCCAGTTCAGCAGGCAGGTGTGCACCAGGGCAGCCACCCCTTGGCCGGGCACCATACCATGCTAGCTCTAAACCCCGATTTCTCCCGAGGAAATTCCTGGAAATCCGGACGTCCTTTGTGCCCTCAACCCCCACCCTCTGGGCGGTTTCGGTCCTAGCCCGCCCGCGGAGGGTGCCCTTGCCTAAAGGCAGATCTGAGTTCCCCCAGCCAGAAGGCCTCGAGCCTCATGTCTCTCTCTCTCCCTCTTTGCATTTTAGGTAACAAATAAGGATGCAACTAAAATCAGCGTAAGTGTGGAGCCCAGCGCGGGCCGCGGGAGACCCCTTCTGGCCGCCTCGTGCCCCGCAGCTCCCTCCCCTTAGCACGCCACGGCGGCGGCAGCGCAAGGGGGCTGCACATGTAGGGCCGCGATTGCAGTCTTGTATTGGCTGCTTGGCGTGTCCGGGCGCCATCTGTCGTCGGTTGCAGGGTCGGGTTCTCTTTTGTGTAAATTACGGGTCCAAGGCCTGAGTCCCCTGATGCGGCTTGGCACTTACCTGTAAAACTCCCCTTGGTCCGGACCGCGCGCTCAGGCCTCCTCGTTTCTGATCGCCTTGGCTCTGCGGGCATCCAGCACCGGGAGCGCGCGGCTGCTCGCCCTCGCCGCGACCGCCGCGACCGTGGCTCCAGCTTCCCGCCCCCTCCGCCCCGCCCTGAGCATCCGCTCTGCGCCCTCCGCTGCAACCCTCTCTCCCCCGCCTGGATTGCGGGTCTGGGTGCGGGGTGTTGCAGGTTTGCGGGGAATTGGGTAGGGGTGGTCGTGCCAGGCTGCACGGGTCCCGGGTCTTGGGGTTGGTAACAGAGGAGATGCGCCCAAGCTTCCCAGCTGGAGCGTAGAAGGGCCTGGCGATGACGAAGACTCCTCATGGGCTTGGTTAGAGGTGAGGGTTCCCTGGATGTTTGGTGAAAGCCACAGAGAGGTTCCGTCCCGAAGTCCCCACCGGGGCGCTGGGGAGGAGCACTTTGCTGAGGGCTTCTGGAGACCCTGTGCAAAGGCGGGGTGTCCAGGGAGCCAGGCAGCAGCCTCAGCTTAGCCTGCCTCCTTGGGTGGGTGGAGTGTTAGCTGTGAAGGCGGGGTCCGGGGACAGGGTGGCTCTCCTTAGGACGCGATTCGGGCAGGCCCTCCATGCGCAGGGAGGTGTGGAGGGCCGGCTGGGACGGCGCTGTAGGTTGGAGCGAGTCGCGGTGGGAAAGACTTGGGGCAGTTATCGAACAGAGAGCCCAGCCTGGGATTTCCTGAAGATGAGGGAGGGAGGAAGGAGAGGTGGGCTCTGTCGGTCTGAAGGACCAGCTACGGGAAGACGAGCAGTGCTGGTTTGTATGGGCAGGGCAGTGGGCAGGGCAGATGCAAGGTGGGAGTTTGGTTAAGATGGTGGGGACACAAGAGCAGGCGGCCCGGCTTCCACGCAGAGTTGTAAGCCCGATGCCACGGGGGAGCCGGGGTTGAAAGGGAAGCCGGATCGTGATGGTGGGCAAACCAGGGTCCGGGAAGTGGGGTGCGCAGATGAGGGGGCGCGACGGCCAAGGCGGCCAGAAGAGCAGGTTTGGGAGCTGCCCAGCCCGGCCTCTAACCCTGCTCTCTTGCAGACCGTGCGCGTCCAGGGCAATGACATCTCACACCGGCTTCGGCTGTCTGCCGTGCGGCTGCAGGACGAGGGCGTGTACGAGTGCCGCGTGTCGGACTACAGCGACGACGACACGCAGGAGCACAAGGCCCAGGCGCTGCTGCGCGTGCTCTCGCGCTTCGCGCCACCCAACATGCAGGCCGCAGAGGCCGTGTCCCACATCCAGAGCAGTGGCCCGCGTCGCCACGGCTCAGCCAGCGCCAACAACGCGGGCGCCGCGGGCCGCACCACCTCGGAGCCCGGCCGCGGAGACAAGACCCCGCCACCCGGGAGCCCTCCCGCCGCCGCCGCTGGTCCCTCAGTCCCCGAGGCCACGGCAGCCTCCGCGGCCCACACGGCCACCACCACCATCGCGGCAGCTGCTGCTGCTGCTTCGTCAGCGCCGCCGCCATCGGGACAGGCAGTTCTGCTGCGCCAGAGGCACGGCTCAGGTAAGGGCGCGCGGAGACGGGGCGCAAGCACCGAGAGGGCGCAGGGCGAGGTTTGCGCGGGAACGCCCTGGAGGACTCCGGAACCAGCACCCACCCTCTTGGCTCATTTGCATGTGCTACTCCTTCCTAGTTATGTCGGGAGCGCCCTCCCCTAGGAACCGTCTTTCTGTCGTTTCTCTGTCTTTACTCCTGGCCTCTGGAAGCATTTATGATGTGCATTTATGAATGGGGGAGGAGGCTGCCCTGCCAGAGACCTCCAGGTTCGATGGAGACTGTTGTGTGGGGAGGCGACCTCTTTTGGGTTTGGAGAACTGGACCCTGAGGGCTGAGCTCTGATGGTGGCAAGGGGCCAGCACTCTGCCAGCCCTGACAGTGGAAAGGAGCTATCCCCAGGTACTGGCACTGGCACGTGGTGGAGAGCGGGAGGCGGTTAAAACGCGGGTTGTGTTGGTTTCTATGCTGCGTGCTCGGTTGAATACACTTTGTCCAAGGGCGTGGAGGGGCCTGGCCGTGGAACCGCTGCTCTGTTTGGCTAAATGTAGGATGGCCCTGAGCACCAGCTCTGTACTGTGCTATAAATCGCAGCTCCCCACCCTTTGTCTTCCGAGCAGGGGCAGTAAGGACTGAGACCCAAGTCACTGTTAAGAACTTGACACCCAGAGGGGAAGGCTTGCTTTCCTAGGGAGCTGAGAGGCTGGAGTGTGGAGGGGAGGATGTGGGAAGACAAAAGGAGGAGAGAAAATGATGGCCTGACTTCTCCCAGCAGGCGGCTCTGGAGCCGTAGGAGCTGTGGGCAGAGGTGGAGGAGGCGGGGAGGTTATGGAGGGTAGAAAGGCCTGCCCAGTGTGCCCCTTCTTCCAAGGCATCCCTACTCTCTCCCCCTGCTCTAAGCTGGGCCCACCCCCCGTGCCTGACTGTGACCAAGTGACTCCCTCTCTCAGCCCCTCCCCTCAGCCTTGTTTGATGCAGAGTCCCACGGGGAAATCTCTCCCAGCCACACTGCCCTGGGAGGCTGGCTTTGGGGAACAAGCACATGTGAAACCTCCTAGATGTGGCAGAGAACATTGTCGCGCCCCTACAGTGGTAGTTCTCAAAGAGTGGTCTGCCCCTGGGCTCCTGGACTACCTGCAGAACCCGAAGGGGACAGTCTTCATGTCCTTCTTGTCACGGTCTCATCTTGCCTTCCTAGCTAACTCTCAAGCCCTCTGACAGTTGAACCTGCAGTCTGTCTGGCGTATCAGTCCAGTTCCATTTCTCATTCAGCTCTACCTGCTGTGGCCACCTCCTCAGTGCATCTCAGGCTACTGGCTTGATCCCAAGGCCTCATCCCTCTTGGATGCCACACAGGGCCCTACAAGACTGTCTCTCAGGCTATTGGGGAAGGTAGGGACCTGTAGAGGGCCTGAGAACTTTCCACCCTCTGCAACAAGATATCACTAGGTGCTGTGACAAATAAACCCCGAAATGTCAGTGCCTTGACACAATTCAAATGTCATATTCCTCTCTCACACCAAGCCCTGCACTGGAGTGCCCCGGGGCATGTGGTGGCTCTGTTCCATGCAGTCATTCAGGGACCCAGGCTGAGACTACCAGCCTCAGCAAGAGGCTTCCAAAGTCACTCTGGGCATGACATAGACCAGGGAGGAGAGACAGAAGCAGCCCTTGTCACCTCACTGCCCTGAGAGAATGATGCTGTAATGCTCTCAGGCATGCATTGTGTATAATGAATCAACTTATTTCCTATGCATTTAGGACAGCCCTAAGTATCTATCATTCGTGGGAGACTGAGAAAATAGCCACTCAAATCATTCTGGCAGCACTTAACTCTCTCAGAGAAAAGCTGGTTCAGAAAAATGGCAAGGTGGTTTTTAAGCACCAGGTCTAGAAGTGGTAAATATTACTTCTCCCCTCTTCTATCAGCCAGAACCCAGTCACATGGTCCAACACAGATGTAGGGGCTGCTGGGAAATGTAGTCCTTGGCGTGGCAGCTGCTTTCGGGCCTCACCTTCATAATGCAAAGGGAGCATGAGTCTTCGAGGAGTTAGCCATCTCTGTTCAGCATACAGGCCGTGCACAGAGGGACTGCCTATTGACTTACAGAGCCATTGGCGTAACTGATGCTGACTGGTGAAGAGAACATTCTTCTTCCCCATCCCTTTGGGCCCCAGCAAGGAAATGTGCATTACAGGCTGGGACATACCTCTAGGATATTCCTGAAGGATTTGAAAGACAGAAGTCCAGATGTGGGTTGTGCCCTTACTGGCTGTGTGATTTTAGGCAAGTGTCTTACCATCTCTGAGCCATCTGTAAAATGAACAGGATAATCTCTCTGATCTCAGAGGAAGCTTAGTATGGAAATTACTGTACATAGATGTTGATTATTATCGCCCTGGTTATTAGCTGCACTAGCTGGAGAGGAGAGCATGGGCAGATAAAGCTAAGAGGCTATGGAGGACCTTGAATACCAAGTGGAACCGGCAGTTGGTTAAAGACTGGTCAAGAGCATGTGAAAGAGATCTTTGAGAGTGAACTTGATTGTGCTCACAAAATGGTAACGAGACCAAGGTCATGACCACACTCCTGCCTGAATCCCTCTTCCCCTGGCCTTCAGCCTGAGTCCTAGGCTCAGCCACAGCTGACCTGACTGCCTGCCATAGCCAGTGTCTCTGCTGACTGTGGAGGCTAAATGAGAGAGTGAAGATGTCCAGGATATCTCATCTGGGGAAGGCGGGCCAGACAGTGCCCTTCTTCCCAGAAGATATGGAGGTCCTCAGTTCAGTTCAATGCTGATGGCACAGTAACCGGGGCCATCCCAGCAGATAGGGCATGAGCACCCACCAGCCACAGGGTCATATGTTAATGCCCATGTGGGTCACTCTGCCTTCCATGGAAGGACTGGTGTCCACTGCAATTCTGAAAGCACAGCTTGCTGGGCTCCCAGCGGGGCTGACAGCAGTGCCCGGGGATAGAAGTACAGTAGCCTCTGAGGTCCCTGTCACCCGCTAACCCTTGCCAGCTCCTGAACAGGTCAAGAACTGTATAGGCACATCTCAGAAAGAACTTCCGGTCTCTCTCTAAGCCTCCTTTGGGGTGCCCAGGGGTGGGCCTTCAGCTGGGAGTTCAGAAAACCTGTGTCCCCCACTCCAGGTGAAACTCTCATGAGAGTCACTATGCTGCAGCCACTCCATGTCCCACTCTGAGCATGGAAAGTCTATGACAAGACCTGTCATTCACAAACACACCCAAATAGGCTTGATGCCAAAGAGGGAGCCATGCTCTGTCTTGTGTCCCACCTCGCCCGGGTCACCCAAGGCCACCTTGGCTGTGGGCTGTCAACGTGAAGCCTGCAGACTGTTTTGGAGGATGGGCATAAGTAACCTTTCTGTACGGCTGCATCACCAGCCAATGCCCTGAGCTCGGCTGCTGGCACTGGGTCCTGCTGAGCACCCTGGGAGGCAGAAAGCCAGCCGCTTCGCTGGGAACCACAGCAACCTGAGCTACAGAGAGAGCTCGGGGCAGATGACCTTGGGCCTGGCCTTCCAGCAGCTGGATGGGGAGAGGTCCAGAAAGGACCACTGCCTCTTAGTTAACAGGCATGAGTGTTTGCAGAGGGTATCAGCCAGGGCGCTGGCAGAGGCACATGGCACGTTCAAACAGCATCACTGGGGGAAGTGGAAAGAGAGTATGTATCAAGGTATGGACAGGGTTAGGGCAGTCAACAAAGGATGGGTGCAGGTCTCGGGGTGGGCAGTAGTGGCAGCCATCAGCACCCCTAGCCTAAAGGAGCCAGCACCGGAGCAGCTAGTAGCACCCAGAGAGTAGGATGGGAGGCACACGGCCAACCCAGTCACCCCGCAAGGACTTCGTCCGCCTCCCACCCTCAATTCCCTGTCAGGGCCTCCCACTGGTCAAACCCTCCTGGAATCTGAGGGCAAGGGCACCCAGGTGATGCAGGCTCTAGAGGTCAGCCCTCGGGAGCTCACAGCAGAGTAGAGAAGGGTGGGCTGAGGACGTGGGGGTACTGAAGAGGCTCAGAGCCAGGCGCAGTAACTCACGCCTATCATCTCAGCACTTTGGGAGGCTGAGGCGAGTGGATTACCTGAGGACGGGAGTTTGAGACCAGCCTGGCCAACATGATGAAATGCCATCTCTCCTAAAAACACAAAAACTTAGCTGGGCGTGGTGGCAAATGCCTGTAATCCCAAATACTTGGGAGGCTGAGGCAGGAGAATCTCTTGAACCCAGAAGGTGGAGGTTGCAGTGAGCCAAGATCGTACCACTGTACTGTAGCCTGGGCAACAAGAGTGAAATTCCATCTCAAAAAAAAAAAAAAAAAAAAAAAAAATACAGAAAAGAGGCTCAGGATGCTGGCCATTTCAGATTGACGACTGCAAGCGTGGTCCCAGGACATGTCCCCAAATAGTCCCCCGTTAAGCAATTGTTCCTGGAAGGAAGTCAGAAGAAAAGCCCCCATTTTTTTAAGTGAGTTACTTTGGTAATGCCAGGGAGGAGAAAGGGGGACTTACTCCAGCCATCATCTGTTAGTTACTGCAAAGCTAGGCAAGAAAGACTTTCCCGAGCCACATGTGTACTCAATATAGCCAAATACATATTTGCACTAAAAGTTGATGTGCAAAAACTCATTCATTTCACGTCTCATTTGTCAAGAGACATGTTGGTATTTGTGCTTAAAAATAAACATGGACTGGATTAGCAGAACAGAGCAGGCACGGGAGGCCAGGCCCCATCTTAGCTGTGTTCGTAAATCTGGCTCCTAATTAATCTGAACGCTGACCCATTTTTCGTGAACACTTTGTTGCTAGTTGCCATTTCTAGAAAAGAGACAGAGAGAGACCAGACAGAGTATCTTCCAGACAAACACTTCTCAATGGAACAGGCGCTGCAATGAGGTCTAGCACGGCCTCGGAAGAATCCAGTTTGCGACTGAACGGCTGGCCAGAGGTTCCCCTCCGCAGGGATCTCGGGATCAGAGTGGTGG